TTATTACGATTACTTGAAGAAGCTGTAAAAACAAACATTCGCTACGAACACCACCTTGCACGCACAAACACACGTATGTACATATAGCCCAGCAAATATCGACCATTCGCTCATTGAGCCGAATTGTTGACTTTACCTCATTGAATTGCAGTCGGTGACATTGGCTGTCGCCGATTCCCCGGCGAAGTTAAACCTTCTATCGCATTCCCCTAACTCTTCGGAAACGGTTGTCTGTCATTGTTAAATAACTCAGGGCATGTGTGTGTCAAAGTTGTATCTACGACTTTCCTCGCCATTGTATTATGTGTCTAACTGTTTGTTTGCTGAGCTATCAGTGCGAATGATTGTACAATCGAATAAGCGGGAACGCCATTCCCCAATTATCCTTTGGTGTTCCCTTTGTTATTTTCAAAGTTTTATAACGTTTTTTCTTCTTTCACTAATTCGCTACCCCTTGTTATACATATACCTATATGTATATATTTATTATCATTTCATTTTGCCTCTTCAGTGGATTTTCACTTCATGTTATTTTACTTCGACTTAAGTTTATCTCCCATTTTGTCGTTTCAGCAGATAAATTATTTGTTTGATTTGAGGGCATTCCAGACTGCATAAATGAGGAATGGCGATTGGTACAAGATAAATTATGTTTATCCAGTGGGATAGAATATTATTTGCAAGCGTGTTCGAGAAGAAAAAAGATTTACTCATGTCATGAATGGCTAATTTCAAGAAGTGAGTTATTTAGACTGTTAGTTAATGCGGGCACGAACAGGACAAGGAATTGTTTTTCATACGATTTCTAGCATATGCACGCGCTCATACATTCACCATGTAAACAGTTCTCCTATCGAGTTAGGTAAATTTGCCTACCATGACATGACTATACCACGCGCATTTTTGAGGGACATTATATTTCAGCCAATGCCGTTTATCAATTTTTCCGTGAAAACTTAAATATATATAAACATATGCTATTTATTTCTTTTAACCTGCCACATATTAAATAAATAATCTATGTTTTTTTGTTTTGCTGTATTAGTCATATACTTACATAAATCGTAAATTTCTACGTCTTAGGAATATAAGTTCAATATTACTAATATACTTTATGTCGAAGCTGCACGTATATTTTAGTAATCCAACATCTTTTTACTCTCGCACCATGTTGTTGCAGATTATAATGGGTTTGTTCAACTAACGGTCATTAGTAACAACCAAAACTAATCGGGATAGATATAGAGTTATATATACACAAAATGTCAACAAATATGACAATATTATTTAAGCGTTATGCATCGTTTGGGTCAAGTTATTCGTCTGAAACGGTCATCACAATAGTGCGCCATGTCAACGTGTTCTTTGATATCGTAAGAAGGTTGGTTATTTAAATGAGATTTGAGATACAAAACTGTCTTTTGGTGCAGCCAATAGGAATAGGGAAAGGCATATGTGGTTTATAAACGTTTAAAAAGAGGGCGTAACCCCGCCCTTATATGCTTAATGTACATATTTGACAAATCATTCGGTCGGAATAATCGCGCAGCAGAGGCAGTGCGCACCGAACACGCTATTGTTGATGTAAGCTATCGAAGAACACCCGAATGAGTCCATCCGCCACCGGTCACAACAATTGAAGCTGTATCCATCCACTTTATAGAATATTTTGAGGAATGGTATTGGTTAGCGGGCTTACGAAATCTAATTCGTGCAAGAATTGAAGCCGGCCATAATGTTACAGTCAATGGGAAAAGCAATAGAGCCATGAGTAATAACTTTTACGTGCTTAAATTGAAGGATGATGATGTGGACGACCTTTGGTTCCAACAAGAAAGCACTATATGCCATTCAGTTAACGTAACAACCAATTTATTGAAGGAAACTTTTGGTAAGTCGTGGCCCTGTGTCTTGGCCTCTAAGATCGTGCGATTTAACACCGCTGAACTATTTTTTGTGGGGTTATGTGAAGACGTTTGTCTAAACAAATAAACCAGAGGCGATTGTCGCCTTGGAAAAGAATATTCGGCTCAACAAAATTTTTAAGAAAACTTGTACATTTAATTTCAATAAAATATCACATTTTGACCAACCTGAACGGTTAAAAGTCAGGTAGAAAGACGGAAGTAATTATATGGAGTCTATTGGGGGTATTAAACGACATATTTTGTATAAAACTTGTTAGATAAACGAAACTCATTATATGCAGTATAAGGAAGTTGAGGTAGTATTTATCCGGACTTATAAATTTTTTTCAATACCTCATATGTACTATTAACATGCCATAGACTAATAAAATACTCATTCATTCAGGTACCTTACATACGACTACCAATCATATGAAATCTAGTCAGGTGGATGTTCGAAATTACTGGTGTTAGTTATATGGGGTCAATTAGGTAAATTTTTACCCGATTCTATCAATTTTTAATAAAAAGATACACATAAATATATAACTCACAGTTAAAGTAAAGTAATCAGATGGAAATTAAAATTTTCTTATATGGGAAGTAGGCATGGTTTAGTCTGCCCATTTTTACACTGTAATATATGAATATGAGAGGAATGTGTGGGCGGGCCACGCTCACTTTTTCTAAAACTGTTAAACCCAAAATGCCCCTATCTTAGGCGATGCCTTGTACTAAATAACAGTCTTGTAACTTATTATGGAGTTTCGTTATGGCAATTCATTGGTTTTCGATTAATGTTGTTTTGTGTGCGTGGCAGTGGTCCGATTAAGCTCACATACAATACCAAAGATACCTAAATTTCTACTCAACTCAATCAACTCGTCTCTTCATCTTGATAATTTATATATATATATATATATATATATATATATCCGCCCACTTTTAGGTGAAAACCCATATCTTGGGATCTGCTTAATCGATTTCAACCAAATTCGGTTTCTATGTCATAGTGCGAAAATGGGCGAAATCGGACTACAACCACGTCTATTTCCCATATAACACCATTTTCAATTCCATCTGATTCCTTTACTTTCCACTATGCATATCAAGCAACAATGATTACATCGGGGTAAAACTTAGCGTGAATAATACGTTTAAAGTATGTCACCTTGTGACCAAAAATTGTCTAAATCGAATCAAAACTGTTTAAGCCCCTATGTACTAAATATGTGAACCCCAGTGCCTATAGTTCACCTTCTACCGGAAATATCAGTCAATTTACAAAGAAATCTCAAACGAGTATACCATATGACTTTGCGAGATTATAAAATGTTCGGTTACATCCCTTAGCCCTTCCTTACTTGTTTAATATAAAGTTTTCAGCACCTGAAGGAATTTTGAGGGCTTTCATTCAAAATGTACGGTTACACCCGAATTTAGCCCTTCCTCACTTGTTCCTCAGACATATTCCATCTACATTTAATAAATTGGTCGGTCGTTGTCCTACCATATACTACATATCAGGATTTTCGTTATCATTGCAGTCCTTATTTCGCACTTGAGTGGAAACATGTTCTCGAATATAATTGAGTAATTCTAAAATGTTATCAATCAGTCTAGACCATCTCCGAGAAAAAGTATACCCCATTTAGTGATTTCCGGTTTTCCAGTTGAATTTAAACCGTTTTTGTTGGTAAATACGTGTGATATTTGAATGAAATTAAGTAAATAACAGATATCATATTGCGATAATCAGACTTTGTTCTAGCGAACTTTGCTTCTGACATGAAATTGAATTGAATATTTTAAGACTAAAAGGTTCAAACACATTCTCGCGTTTTCATTCAAAATGTTTCAAAATTGTTTAATCTTTGGGTTATTTTATCAGAAAGTCATACCTTCTTAACGCCTTAAATTATCTTGGTAACCTTTCTTTTACGCATTTGCACCTGCACCTTATTTACTATTTCTGTTTCCCTTAATTTGAAATATTTATGTATGTAACTTCATTTTGTTTTCTTACTTCATTCCTAGCGTTAATTCGTTTGAGGGAATAATACCGTTGCGTGCCGTAGCATTGCCTACGTGAACCATTCATCATTGCTTCAGGTTGTTGTGTTCTCTTCGTTCTCCCTATTCCTGTTGAGTGCAGCACAAATTTTCTAAGGTGGTTTAGTGGTGTTACCCTATTTTTACCTGATTCCTACATAATCGAAATGAATTTTACATTTTATTCCACTCGCTTCCCTTTCCATTAAATTTGCTCTGAAGTGTAATTTCCTTCACTCCACCGTCATTGTTTGCGTTTTAATGTTTCTTTGCGATGAATTGTTTAAATATTTAGAATCTAATTTTGTATTTCACTACAAGTGTTTTATTTAAGGTTTGGCATACTTATCTATGTTGTTCCTCTCAGTACCATTGCTGAAGTATATGGACGTGTTATGCATATACGAAACAAACAAATAAAATGCTACAAATGCTTAAATAAATTTAAATCGACTTTAATGCTATAATTGAAACAATTACCCATTCATAACTATCCATAATTAAGAGTCTTTGGAGTTTCGACCATTAAACGTAGGGCATATACAAGTATAATAATTATTTGAAAGAGAGCACCCCAATTTCTCAACTCTGCTTATCAATTTAAGTGCATGATATTATAAATAGCAAATACTTAAATGGCTGTTGGTTACATAACATACATTTGTCTTGCTATTAGTCATTCTATTTTATTCGAATTCTGCTTATAGTGTATGTGCTCTTCTGGGAACAGCTGTGACTGACCCTTTAATGGCTTAAATGCTCATCTTTTTTGCTTTTTATTACATATTGAAATATGTTTATGTAAAGTAGCTATCCCATACTTTCATATTTATATTAAAACTAGAGGACTCCGTCCACGCGTTGCTGTGGCTAAGGTATACATTATGTACATACTATTCAATACAGTAAAATTGTATTTATGAAATAAAATGAAAACGTTAATTCCAATGTAAGAATAACCAAGCGGATCACTTCCAGAGTTGAAAATGATTAATACTAATTTCCTTCGATTTGTTATTAAACACAAATAAACATAAAATATAATATGTTTTTTTTTATTGTATTAATTTTATATTCAAGTAAGAAACAAATGAGTAATTTTCAAAGTTGTTAGTAGATAACGTTTGAAATAATGAAAGAGGTTGATCGTTCTTAAATTTTAACAATAATATTTATAGTTTTTAATTATAAACATTTTCAAATTCAATTAATTAAGCTCTATTTGTATCGTACGTTCTGACAGCATCATTGGAAAACGTGGCAAGAGGGCTATTTCTCCATTAAATTTTCCAGTCAAATTAGTTGCTATTATAATATTTCTTGTAATCCTTTTGATTATCATAGCTGAACCGTTGCATAATTGAGGTGAATTGAAATAGCTCTGAATAATTTTCAACCAAAGATTATGTGATCTCATTCGGAGTATATCTAGATAATTGACGTTTTCATTCACATTAACAACAGTAGCGAATTATTTAAAATTGACGATTCTATGCTATCTCCTCACCAACTTAAAGCCAAATCAGTTAAGCCGTTCATAAGTTATAAATATTGTAGCTAACACTTCATTTCGCGCTTCGCGTTGCTTATTAGTTTGATTTGATCTTATATATATTTGACTTGTAGTATTTCGAGTTCTGCGACCTAAGTTTGTACGTCTGCTTGGTGGCATTTTTAAAAACGAAAATCCAACTGAAAATAAAAAATTACTCCCTTATATTTTCTGTTTAACCATGTATACCAAATTTTAATATTGTGTAGTTATCAAGAGTTACCAAAAATCGATATTAAGCTGTAAACTTACAAACTTCTTAGTCTTTAAAACAAAACAAACTTTATCAAATTACTTAATCACTTAAGAAAATTATTGTTAGCGATATGTTAGGTTATGTGTGTCAGATTACCACAGATTACTAAATAGGTTATGCGTTCTGAAATCTCCTAGTATACATATTTTATTATACATTAAAATGAAATCATCACTGGTATTATTAATATTACCGTCAAAGTCGGCACATTTAATTGTGGCGAGTAATTTTCAAAAATTAGTAAATTAGTGCGATAGAATTTAATTAAGTAACCACATTGCCGAACAATATAGTCTATGGCTGTGAATGACGATGACATTCGTTACGCGCGTTTTTTAAAATACGCAAAATTAAATGTATTTTTTCAATCTTTCTGAGACATTTTCTTAATATTCTTCTACAGAGTATTTCAAAAATTACAACAAAAAGCCTCAAGTTATGGCGTGACAACGGGAAACGGGTTTCATTTCTATACACTCGCAACCTGTTGCTACAGAGTATAATAGTTTTGTTCACCGGTTCACGGTTGTTTGTATCACCTAAAACTAATCGAGTTAGATACAGGGTTATATAATATATATATATATAAATGATCAGGATGAAGAGACGAGTTTAAATCCGGGTGACTGTCGGTCCGTCCGCCCGTGCAAGCTCTAACTTGAGTAAAAACTGAGATATCTTTATGAAACTTGGTAGACATGTTTCTTGGTACCGTGAGACGGTTGGTATTGCAGATGGGCGTAATCGGACCACTGCCACGCCCACAAAACGCCATTAATCAAAAACAAATAAATTGCCATAACTAAGCTCCGCAATAAGATACAAGACTGTTATTTGGTACACAGGATTCCATTAGGGAGGGGCATCTGCAGTTAAATTTTTTTTTAAGTGGGCGTGGTCCCGCTCCTAATAGGTTTAATGTGCATATCTCCTAAACCGCTAATGCTATAATAACAAAATTCACTGGAAGCAAATGTTTTCAGCACCTCTATTGACGGTGTGAAATCGGGTGACAAGCCCGCCCACACCCCATATAACGGTACTGTTAAAAAATACTAAAGCGCGATAAATCAAGCACTAAACACGCCAGAGACATTAAATTTTATCTATGGATTGGTATGAGATGACTTTATAGGAACCGCGTTCAAAATTAGTCAGTGGGCGTGGCACCGCCCACTTATAGGTGAAAACTCATATCTTAGGATCTGCTTAACCGATTTCAACCAAATTCGATGCATAACGTTATCTCAATATCATAGTGCGAAAATGGGCAAAATCGGACTACAACCACACCTATTTTCCATATAACACCATTTTCAATTCCATCTGATTCTTTCACTTTCCACTATGCATATCAAGCAACAATGATTATATCGAGGTAAAACTTTGCGTGAATAATACGTTTAAAGTATGCCACCTTGTGACCAAAAATTATCTAAATCGAATCAAAACTGTTCAAGCCCCTAAGTACTAAATAAGTGGACCCTAGTGCCTATAGTTGACCTTCTACCGAAAATATCAGTCAATCCACAATGAAATCTCAAACGAGTATACCATTTGACTTTGCGGGAGTATAAAATTACTATACTTACTACTACTATATACTTGTTATATATACAGATATTGTTGTAAAACTTGTTTGCTATGTTCTTCTTCCGAAGCTTTTGTGTATTACATTCTGATTAAGGGGTTCGCTACAGCCGTTGTATTTGGATAGAAAAACTAGAAAAAACGCTGACTTGTGCTACGTCGAAGTTATAATACTCTTCACAGGTGCAATTCTTATAGCAACTATATGCATAACAAAATCTGAAAACTTAATCTAAACGTATTTAACGGAAACGTTTTGCTATTTTTTAGTCTTCAAGTCGAATTTCATATCAGTATCTCAAAAACTAATGTACTTTACAGGGTATCCGACGTTTATTTATGTGTGTTACAAGTTTTCTGGCAAACTTAATAGAACACCCTGTTTCAGATATATTTATTACTTATAAATTTTTTAGAGCAAGCACTATCCTGCTTTAATATAATATAAATTTTGGAATTCGAGAGACAGATATTGCCGACATGACACGCTCTAAGCCGTAAAAACTAGTAAATATAAATATAATGGAACTGTTGTATACGTTGTTGGGGCAATTAAAATTGAAAACAAGAAAAAACGTTAACTTCTGTTGCAAAGAAAGCTATAAAATCCCTTCAAAAATACAGTAAACCCCGGATAATTGCATTTCTAAAATTGCACAATTTTTTATTCAATTAACAATATTGATATATATGCAATACAAAATCGGCCGGAAGTTCGAATTTTTTAATAAAAAGTTAGCAATAAGAACTGGGGTCCAATAATTCGGCATCTGGGAGCGTGAACAGTTTTGCTCCGATAAGGGCAAATATTGGTCATAAAGTGGCATACCTTGAAAGCGCAATTCGTGCTAAGTTTTATCCGGATACATTGATTGATTCCTGATTCGTTCGTATTTTCTAACAAAACCGTTATATGGGGAGTAGGTGGAGTTATAACCCAAATTCACCCATTTTCACGGGGTAAGTAGGGATGGCAAATGAGCGCATTTGGTTATTATAGCTTGAACGATGTATTAAAGGGCGGAGCCATGCCCACTTTTAAACATTTTTTTTCAACCATAGATGCCCCTTTCTAGTGCAATTCGTTGTACTAAATAACAGGCTTTTATCTTATTGTGTAGCTTAGTTATGGCAATTTTTCGTTTTCGATTAATGGCGTTTTGTGGGCGTAGTAATGGTCCGATTCCACACATCTGCAATACCAACTCTCCCTGGGTTTTAAAAAAGACATGTGTACCAATTTTCATAAAGATATTTCAAATTTTACTCAAGTTATCGCTCGCACATGTTGCAAGAGTATAAAAGTATATTTAGAGATCGTTGCTTACATTTTGAAAGTGTTACTTGTAGAGGTATGTACTTTTTTTGTATATTGTTCAATCTACGTGAAATAACATTCGATTCCCTCATTTACACGAAAACTTGTTTTCTAAATAAAAATATGTTGTTGTATGTATTTAAAACTTCGAGAACTGACGAAACATTTGGAGGATCATCATTTTTCTCTTCATCCTCAACATCACCACCCTCCAAAATATATTCACCAGTAATCATATGTTTTCAAATCCTGATGCCAGAGATTATTTTTTCACGAAAATGTTTTATACCATTAACCGGGGGATACTTTACAAAACATTTCTTACAAGAAATTGATTTTAATCGGCCAGTTTGTATTGCAGCTATATGCTATAGAGGTCCGATATCCGGCGTTTCTGACAAATAAGCAGCTCTTAGGGACTATTTCGCGACGGAGAGCTACATGGACTAAATCGACTCAGCTCGTCATGCTGATCAATTTTATATACATTCTAGAGGTTCGACGACGTTTCTTCTTGGGTGTTAAAAACTTCGTGACAAACTTAATATACCCTGTTTACGGTATGAAAACTCCATCATCGAGGAGTTAAAATTAAAAATTATTTTACGTTTTTTGTTTGCGGCCAGTATAAATTCTGAATAATAGTTTCTGTTCCTAAAACTTTTATTTTGAGATCATATCTTTGCAATTCAGAGTACACAAATATCATTGTAGTATGCAGACGTACTTGTATATATAAAAATATCATTCTTTTCGCCATAAAATATTGCCTGCTGCCAAAGAGCCTTCGCACAAAATTCAAAGCTTTCCAATGTCAATGCATTTATGATGCTATAAAAGTATATTTATTTCCGAAGGCACAATAAAATTCTGCTTATCAATTCATAGTTGAATTGATGGAGTGGCGCTTCTGGTACAGTGTAATCTGTAACTTCTCTCCCAACTACGAACTTGCTTTTGTGTTTGAGTGCGAAAAACGCATCTACTAACTACAACTTACCATAAAAATAATGCAAACCTCTTGAGATTTTATGCGAATAAAAACAATTCTCTCAGGGATACTCAAATATTCATCGAAATTCTGGTGCTGCTGGCGCAAAACCGCAAGTGTGAAAATAAAAAATAAATAAAAATGTTGAAGAAGAAAAAAAGCGGTTTCATGCTGGCAGAAGCTTAAGGCAAATCACAATAGTTCTTTTCAGTATCATTGCGAGGAATCCTAGCCGTTTTATCGCCATTGACATGAAAAACAATACATTAAATCCACGTTTTTGCCACATAAAACATTCCACCCACTATCGGAATCGCATTACACTGCACAGGAACGGATGGCGGATTGGGAAACTTCTATACATGCCACACACGCGCAGTTGTGGCAAGCTGGTGTACTATACTGATTGATTGTACGAAATGTCTGAACGAGCTATAACGAGATTAATGAACTTCTACTTTGTACTTCGCACTTTTGAGACTGAGGAAGTCGACGTCGGCAGGCAATTGACAGTAGACGAACCGGCTTTCAATTACAAAACGTATGAAAACGGAAAATGGTTAAAGCAACAGCGGAAGCTTAAGTGTGAAATTAACTATGCGACAGTTGAAGACAACTATTACGTTAAAAGACAATGACATTGACTTAGAAAGTTATTAGATACAAAAAACTAAGGGATACTTATGCATAGTCGCGGTAGAATTTGAGCCAGAGAACACGTATAGGGCAAATATTTTTTGTCACGTAGTATAATGATGCTTTGCTAGTGTGCAGACAATTTAACTGTATAACTGTCTGGGACACTGTGTCGGAGCCAGACCTACTCTAACCAAAAGCATTGATCCAGCTAAAGAAACGACCAGTCACAACTGAGAACAATTACGTACATGAAGATTTTTAATAAGTTAGTGCAGTTTAAAAAAAATAATAGTTGAGAGAAATGTTTCTTATATATAAATTTGTTGTTGTGGTTCAAAATGTTTGC